ATTTCGGAGTATAGGTATTAATAAGTGTTATGTCTTCTTGGTGCATGATTCCCTTTATCATTATGAAGTATCCCTCAGTATCTTTCTTTACCTTTTTGATTTTGAAGTCTATTTCATCTGATATTAGTACTGCTACTCCCGCTTTTCTGTGAATGCCATTTGCTTGAAATATTTTCCACCCTTTCACTTTGAGTCTATATTTGTCTTTGGAACTTGGATGTGTCTCTGGAGGCAGTATATTGTTGGTTTTTGTTTTTCGATCCAATCTACAGCTCTGTGCTGTTTTATTGGTGAGTTCAGTCCATTTATATTTAGGGCGATTATTTAAATATGATGTTTTCCTATAACCGTTTTATCTTTTGCCTTCTTTTGCTCAGTGTTTCCATTGCTTCCTTGTCTTTGTGTGTCTGGGTTTTTTTGTTTGTTTGTTTGTTTGTTTGGTTTGTTTTTGTGGATTTTCCCTCTGGACCTTCTTGTTTTATGTTATATACTTCAGAACAAGTATCTTAGATGTGTGGTTACCATTACAAATATGTAGAGGATAGTTGTATTTATATAGTAGTCCAGTTTCTTCTGCGTGTGCCTTATCTCCATTCCTCTTAGTGAGTTTGGATCTTTGAATCCCCTCCTTTTCAGTCATTGTCTCGATTTGTACCTGTGTACGCTGAACGTTTATTACTATCTTGCTATATAGCAAATCTCTTCTTATTGTTAAGCTTATAATGCTCTATTTTTAGTAAGAGTTGCACTCCTCTGCTTCTATCTGCCTGCTAGTTGACTACCTTATTCATAGTTATGTATTTTTTTTTTGGTTATTTTGTTTTAGGTGAGCTGACCCCTTTCAGTATTTCCTGTAATGCAGGCCTCATAGTGAAGAATTCCTTCAGTTTTTGTATGTCTGGAAAGGTCTTTATTTCTCTTTCATTTCTAAAGGATAGCTTAGCTGAATACATTATTCTTGGCTGGTAGTTTCTTTCAGTTAATAGTTAAAATATTTGATTCCATTCCTTTCTGGTTTGTAAGGTTTTGCTGAGAAGTCTGACAATAATCTAATGGATTTTCCTTTATAGGTTACCGTCTTCTTTTCTCTGGCTGCCCTGAGAATTCTTTCTTTGTCATTGATTTTTGATAATTTTAATACAATGTGTCTTGGAGAGGCGTTTTTGAGTTGAGATAATTGGGTATTCTGTTGACTTCTTGAATTCCAAGCTCCAGCACATTCCTTATATTTGGGAAATTCTTGTCAACTATTTGTCTGAAAATGCTTTCTAGTCCCTGCTCTTTTTCATCCCCTTCGAGAATGCTCATTATTCTTACATTTCCTCTCCTAATGGTATCAGCTAGTTCTTGTATTTCTCTTTCATTAGTTTTCATTCTTTGGTTTCTCTCTTACTTTTGAGATATTTCTAGATTTCTGTCTTCGATATCACTGATCCTTTGCTCCATTTGGTTGACTCTATTTCCCAAGCTTGCTATTTTATTTTTCATCTCTCTCAGTGTGTTCTTCATCTCCAGAAGTTATATTTGGTTCTTTTTGAGAGTTTCAATCTCCTTGCTAAAGAACTATTCTGCTGGCCTAGTTGTTTTTCAATTTCTGAAATTGTTGCTATTGATCATTTTGGATCTCATTGAGTTTTTTAGAAATACCATCTTGAATTTTCTGCCATTTAAGTCGCATATTTCAGTGTCTTTAAGCTTATTTTCTGGAGATTTTTCTCTTTCTTTCTGAGATGCCTATCACCTTGGTTGTTCATGGTGTTTAATGTACTATTTCTCTACCTGAGCATAAAAGTATATTTTACTTTTTCTTAGAAAGAAAATTTATTATATAAAGATCTCTCTTTAGCCTGTTGCAAAGAAGGCGTTTTTCTTTTGGTTTCCAGTAGGTGGCACCTAAGTCTCTTGGATCCCTGCTTTATATAATGTTTTAATAATTCCTTTTTTTCTCTTATGGATATTTAATCATGCTTGCTACCCTCAGTCTCAGTCCTTGTCAGTATTAGCGACAGTTTCGGTAGCATTTGCTGAGATTCCCCTGGGACTCCACAGTGTTCGGTCTTGAAGGATATGAGAGGAGGGCCCCTCTGGGTTGAGGGGTAGGGGATATAGCTCAGCCTCGTGTTTTGTAGTCACGTCTGGTAATAATTAACTGTTGCTTCTCTGCCATCCCTGCTTCTCTGCTGTCCTCGCTTCTCTGCTTGCTTTCTGCCTTGATCCTTGGGCAGTGCCACCGGCCGTGTGGAACTCACAGATGTCCCAGGCAGGGCTGTGCAGGGAACCTGCTGCATCATCTCGCCTCACCCTCCTCCTACAGGGAGCTCTGGCCGCAAGAGTCAGCTTCTTTATTTCTCCCAGTCTATTGCCTGACACCCAGGGTTATAACCTGTGATAGTTCTTATGCATAGATCCCTCATTCAGACATGCTTTTGTGCAGGTTCGGTGTTTTTTTGTAGAGTTTCAGATGTTCAGCTTATTGTTATTTCAAGGGGAGAGATCTGGAGACGTCTCTCAATCTGCCGTTTTTGACGTCACTCCCTCGTGTTCTTGATAGTAAAATTCAACATTAGAAAGATGTCATTTCTCCCTAAGTTGAGCTATAAATTTGTCATGATTGAAGTAAAAATAACAGGATTTTTAAAGAAACTAGACAAACCAATTTGAAAGTTTGTAAGGAAAATTTAAAAAAAAAAACAGAAATGATCAAGAAAAATTTGAGAAAAAACAACAAAGTGGTCTAGCCCTTCCAGTTTTTAAAACATATAAAGTTTAATAATTAAAATACTATAGTACTAGTTTAGGTGTAGGAAGATTAATGGAAGATTGCAGATAATCCAGGAAAAGATCCAAATGCTTACAGGAATTTAATACATGATGAAAGTGGCATTTCAAATCTGTGACAAGAAGATGGACTATTCAACAAGTGATGTTAGGACAGTAGGGTAGGCATTCAGGAGGAGAAGCTAAATCCATACCTCGTGTCTCATGTGGATAAATCTTAAATTGATTAAATATTTTAACATATAAAATTAAACCGGAAAGTACTGGAAGCCATGGGAGAATTATTTTATAACCTGAAATTAAGGCAGGCTTCTAACTATGACTTGAAACTCAGAAAACATAAAATAAAAATTGAAAAATTTGGCTGCATTAAAAACCAACATTTCTGTATGCCAAGAACATGAAGCAAAATTAATAGGCAAATAAGTTGCAATTCATATAAAAAAGATTACTTTCTCTAATTTGTAAGAGGTCTTGCTAATCAACTTTTAATAGACTAAGGTCTCAAAATGAGATAAGAATATAAATAGATGCTTCAAAGAAGAACCATAATTTTTAAAAAACATACAAAAAGAGGCTGGGTAGGGAAGATTCTATTTAAGGCAGACATTTTTGCACTGTAGGCCGGCAACATCTTGGAGGTTTTATAGTGCATTGTATTGGCAAGAGTATGGGGAAACAGGCACTTTCATACATTGCTGAGGCAGTGAGGGCAATTTATCACTATTCATCAGTGATGAATACACATACCTTTTAATCAAGCATCACTATGTCTAGAAATTTAATCTACAGTATCCTTATACCGGTGTGGAAGGACATATGTATAAGATTATTCACTGCAGTGTCCATAATAGCAAGAGACTGAAAACAATGGCTGTCAATAGAGGACTGCTTAAACAAACTGCAGCGTATCATTTAACATAACACTATTTAGCTCTTTTTTTTTTTTTTTATAAAAGATTAGTAAACTAGGAATAACACAGTACTTTCTCAGTCAGATAAAGGGTATCGATGAGAAATCTACAATTAATATTACACTTAATGGTGAACTATTGAATGCTTTACACCTAAGACTAAAAATAACGCAAGAATATCTGCCCTTATCCCTTTCACTCAACGTTGTAATGGAGGTCCAATGGAGGAGTTACAATAAAGTAAAGAAAAGAAAAAAGAAGAGATGAAACCACCTATATTATAGCTGACTTGATTATTTACATAGAAAAATCCAAAGGAATCTAAAAAATAACTACTGAGTGAATTTAGCAAAATTGTAAGATACAAGGTCAGATTGAATTTCTATATACTAGCAGCAAATAACTTTTTTAAGTCTGTCTTCAGCAGCATAAAAATATAGAATACTTAGGAATAAATTTAGCAGAAAATGTGGAAGACCTCAATTGAAAACTTAAAGCCATTTCTGAGAGACATTATCACCTACATAAGTAGAGGAATATTCCTTATTTATGAATTGTAAATTTTTAATATTGTTAGGATGTCACTTCTTTCCACATTGTTCTATAGGTTCAATACAGTCCTCCCAATATAATTTTTGTAGAAATTGACAATTTCATTCTGGATAATACAGAAAAACGAAAGTCCTAGGGTCACAAAAAATTTTTGAAGACTGAAGTTAGAGGGCTCATCACCTGATTTTAAGACTTATTATAAAGTTACAGCAATTAAGACAGTGTGATATTGGGATGAGGATAGACAAATAGATAAATGGATGAAGAAAGCCCAGAAATGGAACTGCATATACATGGTCAATGATTTGTAATGAAAGTACCAAGGCAATTTCATGGGGAAAGGAAGTCTTTTCAAATAATGGTGCAGAAATAAGTGGAAAGATGTGAGGAAAAATGACTCTTTGTCATTTCGTATGAGAACTCTTACCTCATACACAAAATTACTTTGAGGCGAATCTTAGACCTAAACGTAAAGTGTCGAAGTTGGTGTTTGAGATCAGTGAGGTAGCTCTCCAAGGTTAAGTTTCTGGTTTCTAGAGGTCCCCATTATCATTAAGCATCTAGAGCGTCAGCTAATCACTAGCAGCACAGTCACCCACCTTTCCCAGGGGTGTACTTGGCACACAGGGTGCTAAACCTCTTTCTATTACTTTATCTCATGCTTTCTGGGTTGTTGAAAATTTTAAACAAACATCGTTTTTTAAGATAAATAATTAAACAAACCTCTTTACCATTTATTCCATCTTTTATTTTTAGCAAGTCTTTCCCGTTGTTTAACCGGTGCATCCCTCAAACGCCAGAGTGCTATTCCCTGTTTGCATCTGTTTTGATAAATGACGTTAACACCCTCCATCGAATTCTAAGTGGAATAATGTCAGGAAGAGACACAATCCTTGGCCTGTGTACCCTCGCATTAGGTAATTATTTTTATTTCATGATGATTTATGGATTGTCAAAGTTTCTTATACTTATCTACGTTGTACAATGAAAATTAGCCTCTTGACTTAAACATAAAACTTCACTTTGTATATTTTCTTTATAGATATTTTCAATGTTTCAGGTTCAAGTGGGAGATGGGACAATAATTGGGGGAAGACTAGCTGGCTCCGTGCCAAGAGGCCTCACTAGGTGGGGCCTTAATGTAGTGACCGTGTTCCAGTGCCTGGTCCTCAGCTCTGCATAAGGATGGATGTTCAAAGCAGGCTGCCAGTTTATAAATTGGGCATGAAAAGTACAACTATCAGAGGGACCAGAAACACATGTCTTCGGGCCAGGGTGCCCTCCACCTGTAGGCAAGCCAGATTGGAAGGCTGCTTGGTGAACATGGGAGGTGTGTGCTTCCAGGTCAAAAAGCATCAGACAGCAGTGACCTGACACATCCAGCTCTCACAAGGAACATCCCTGCTTTGGGCTGTAGGCAGGTCAAGGCCTTGAGCCAGGACATGCCCTTTCCAGGCCTTTGTAGAAGCACAACACACCTCTTAACCCTTTGATTTCCCATTTTTTATGTTTCAGCTTGATGAGCCCCCTTTAAGAGTTGGCTTCCCCTTTTCGAATAAGTTAATACCCTCTGCTGCCAGTAGTAATGGCCCGTTGTCTACTCCAGTGGCTGCCTCCCAACCTGTGTTGAAAGAAACTCTTTGGTCAGATACTAACATTATTTTGCCAGTTTACAAATTGAGTTTTCCATAATTTCAGTACCAAAGTTACTAATTTCTGAGTGCTTGGGATGCTTCAATCATCACCAGAGTTCTTATGGCCCAGATGTGCCAGGCGTTATACTTAAGTCATTCAAACCTCAGCAGAATCCTGTTACCATTTGTAGGAGAGGAAGCTGAGGCTTAGAGAAGCTAAGTGACTTTGCCAAGGTCACACATTCAGTAGTGAAGGAGGCAGAGCTCAGACTCAATCCAGAACTGATTCCAAACCCATGTTCTTAACCACTACACTGAAACATCTATATGTAATCCTAATTTCTTGTTTAGAAAAAAATAAAGTAATATTTATAAATTCACTGTAATACTTAGAATAAATTGATAAGCTTAAAAACCCAAATATTGGAAAATAATACACAGGGTTTTTTTACACATGCAGTTTACCATGTAATTAGAATGTTAAATTTTTCATTTTTAAAGGCATTACTCTTTCCTATTTATAAGAATATCTGAAACCAATTAAAATGAGAGCTTTGCATAGGCTGGTATAAAATCAAGAGTTAAATATAATAAAAAATTTTTAATGATTCATTTCTTCTTAAAATAAAAAAAATGTTTTGGGTATTTGGAAATAATACCTGCTTAAACAATTTTTTTTAAAATTCAAGAAGAATGCTCGCGCTTTTGGAAACTGTAACAGGTTGGACTCATCTGTGTTGCAGCCCTCTCAGTGGGGGTTTGGTCATCATTGCCCGCACACCTTGGTTGTTATTGTGATTTCTATGTTATGCTTAACCTTTCAGCCTTGTCTTTGGCCATGATGTTCACCTTCCGATTCGTGACAACCTTTTTGGTTCACACTTTCGTCGCTTTGGTTATTTTGGGATTGTTGTGTAAGTATTTCTATTTGATTGATTTCTTTTTGATTAAATGAAAAGGCTTTTAGTTAAGTATAGAACTTAAAAGTTGCCACTTTTGCACTAAATGGGATCTTAGAGAGTTTTCTCATCCAACTGCATTAGGATTCCCATAAGACTCAGGCCCAGAGAGGACAGAGAGAGTAGCGTATGTCTCACAGATGACGGTAGAGTTAATGCCCACTCTCGTCTCTTCCACGCTCCGCCCCCGAGACGAGCCTGCCAATTGAGTGACCTGGCATCCACACCATTAAAAGACAATTCCAATACCTGTCAGAAGCCTCCTAAAGGATTTCTTCTGAACTTGCACATCACCCGTAGATACCACCAAGGTGGCATGCCCGCATTGTCACATCCAAAGAAACACAGGCCTTGAGCTTGCGGTAGGATCCTGGAGACCCACTCCTATACCCACTGTTTTCATTGCTGGCTCTGGGGCCCATCTAGGAATTGTGGAGAGGGCGTCCAAGAGGCAAGGGCATGGAGGAGGCTCCAGGCAGCGGCCATTTATCAACTAGTCTGGGGTATTCGAGTTTTCAGTCATTGGTACAGCCAGTGTTTCATTCTCTCATTACCTAGGTGTGCGCTCAGCCCCTTAGAGCTCCATGGCTCACAGGTCCACAGGGTGCCTGGGCTGGAGGACATGCACATGGCTGGAGAGGGATGCTTTCCCATCTACGATTAGTAAGGACATCTGTGATCTTCCAGTTACTTTGTGGCCTAGGTAGCAGTTAGTGCCTAAATGCAGAGCATCTGTAGTGTCGCAGTATCTGCCCATTTTTTGTAGATGCCAGTTTCATATCCAGGCTCCTGCAGGAATTGTCACCAGCAGAGCTCATTTGGAAGTTTTAGACTTTGCACTCTAATGTCGCTTCTCTTAACATCCTGCCAGTGCAGTTTCCTCCCTGCTCACACCCAGACCCAATTTGGGCTGAGCAGATGGGACACACCTGTATTCTGGGGTCACCCCACTGCACCTCTCAAAGACAAGGAGCCACTCCAGATCTGAGGGGTCCTCGGGGGGCTGCCCTGGCTCTGCCCAGCTCCTTCAGAGGGTCAGTCTTGCTGTAAAGCCTAGGGATTTGGGACCCACTGCCTGAGCCACACCACCTGTTATGTGGCCCTGCATGTCTGGATGCGGGGGAGGGTGGTCACCTGAGAGCGGGTGCTGAGCCCGTGGTGTTTTTCTTTCTAGTTGTCTGCAGTGTCTTATGGTGGCTATATCATGACTACACCAATGACCTCAGCATAGCATTGGACACAGAATGGGAAAACATGATGTGCCTGCTGGGGTTTGCTATTGTATCTACAGTTCTTACGGTAAGAAATGGGCTTCCAGTAGGAAGTCAAATAGCCAGCCAGAACTCTGAAATTCAAATAATTGGATTTTAACCAGAAACAGCCAGAATGTGTTTTTCTTTCACTTCAGAGTGTGCATCAATATTCGCACAGTGAATGGACACACATAGTTCTGTTTTTATGTGAGATCTCTACATAGGGATACATCAAAACCTTCAAAAAATAAGGAAAAAAAGTCTTCCTTTTTTCCAAATCATTTCTGCCATCTCTCAGAGGTTAATTTGTTACCTGGGCTGATTTGTTGTCCTTGTAGAACCATTTTTACCCCCCAGAGGCTGTAAGGTGGACACTGAAGGGGGACAGACTCACAGCAGTTCCTGTTTCCTGTTTGTGAGGATGGATGCTCTGCTCTCTCCAGGGTGTGACAGCCCGCACTGCCCTCGAGCACAGAGGGCTCTTTGCTTCCAAACCCACTGGCAGCTGGGTCACCCTGGTGCTCAGAGAACCCGCCGCCTCCACTGTGAACTCTGCAGTTGAAAACAGGCAAACAGAGTGTTGTTGAGGCAGCGGATGTGGCTGTTGGGGGAGGGTGGTTGGTCACTCCCCAGATGGTCTTAGATGTGCCAAAGTCACAGGGCCCTGGAGAAGGTGTGGAGGTGGTTTCGGGGGGCCCACGGTAGTCTTTGCTAGTGTTGCTCACTAACCGTTTTGTGGAGGAGCAACAGCCTGGGGTTTGCACAAGCCCGTTCAGTCTTTCAGCAGACACAGGCTCTCTCACAACTCAGTTCTCTCTTCTAAGGAAACCCTTCAGCTCCCACGTTTGTACAGTCTTCACGTTTTCTCCTCTAGTGAGGTTTCAGGTCTGTGTTCTTCACGTAAACTGTCTTGGAAGCAAATGTGCGATGAAGTACAGCTCCGGCTCCATCCTGCCTCAGGCAAGGACCAGGCCCATGGCTGAACTGGGGCCTGCGAAGGGGGATGGAGGAGAGAGGGCCCCCTGAACCCCAAGTTATGCGCTGCTGGGTATGGGGGGAGGGGCAGGGCTGGGAGTCGGAGAGAGAGCCCCCTCCCTCTCTGAGCCCTCCACAGTGCATCTTTTGTTTTCACACATTGAACCATGAATGGCCACCCAGATGCCAGGGTCAGAGGTGAATGTTCCTCCTCAGGGTGTGTAAGGTGAGTGAAAGGGGAAGCTGTGAGAGCAGAGAGGCTGTTTTCACCTGTGTCTGTGAGGCCCACCCCATGGCCGGTATAAAGGGTAGAATTGAACCAGAGGTCATATGCCTTCGTTTGGCACATAGGTCACTGCCACTTGCTGGATGAGCTTATTCTTGTAAGTGCCCCAGACTCTTCATCACCATCACCGTTTACGGAGCTCTACTGTGCACAGGGCCCTGCACTAAGCAAGGGAGCCAGCAAGACACAACACACAGAGCACATGTCCCGGGATGAGGTGGGTCACAAAGCAAGGAGTGCCGTGACATGGCTCACAGGAGAGATCCCAGCCTTTGTAGTCTCGGGCCTCTGTTCAGATCCACACCCACCACCCACTCTGTCATCTTGGAGAAATGACTTGGCCTCTCAGGTTTCAGTTGTCTCATCTGTTCAATGGCAATAGTATTACAAGCTCGCCCACAGGGGTGTGGCCTTCCCTCCTCCCGTGGGGCATCCATCATGGAAGCTGCCATTTTCGCCAGAGAGCCCCGCAAGTGCTGCCTGGGGGGAGACCTGAGTCTGGAGAGCTGGGAAGCCTGTGGAGCAGGAAGACGGCCATGCCCAGGGAAACCCCTGCCTGCCAGCGCAGGCTCGATCCCGCAGAGCCCTGCACGAGGTGAGGGAAGGAGGACAGAGAGAGCCAGGTTACATCCCCTATTCAGACACCACTCCCTGTCCCCAGCGTTAGCTGGTGTCCGGGGGAGAGAGGAGTTATTGTCTGCCCATCTTCTCCCTCACTCCCTGCTCCTTACTCTCGCTTTCCCAGACCAGGGAGAGGAGAAACCCACAGCAGCAGGAGAGGACTAGAAGCAGGAGGAGGCCCTCATCCCTTCATGCTCACCTTGGAGCCTCCATCTCACCCATTTTCCCTCTTGCCCTCCTCACATGTCGGGGCCCCGCAGAGACCCTGAGAGTCCCACCTAGTGGCCTGAATCTCATCTGCTACCAAGACCACTCAGGTGGGGATGTGTCCCTGTTTTCCGAGTTCCCAGCAGCCGCCTTGCGAATCAGCCTGAAATCATTCTGGGAAGATGGGGCCTGCCTGTGACTACTACTGAAATGTTTTCAATATGACTGCTATCGGCAATGAGGAAAACTGGTGTCAGTGGTATTAAAGGCTTCCCTCAGGGTGTCAGCCTAGGAGCACAGGCCGAAATGCAGCAGTTTGCAGCTTAGAGCCCAGAAGAGTGAAGTCGAGGCCCAGGCCCCGCGGCAAGTCCACTCCTCAAAGGACCCTGTCAGCGCAGGGGATGAGAGATGGCAGGGGCTGGGCCAGCATGTGGGGGTGGAGAGTGGGTCTTTCTTTAATGTGATATTTATATGCAAGGAACCAAGGCCAGGAGAGAAGAGGCACCGGAAGTTGTTTCGAAGCGTAAGCGCCGTCCAGTGCCTCACACTGAGCTCCCTGCCTTTTGCAGTCCTTCAGCTTTCGTCGAGCATCTCTGGCGTTCAGGGTGGAAGGGAGACAGAAGACAGTTCTTGACCCTGGAGGACCTTATTCTCATTTTCTCCTGCTCTCTAACCAGACTGCAGTCTCCTTTAGGGCAGGGATTGCATCTCGTTCATTGTTACAGCTGCCAAATTTAGCCTACGGGGACCAGCACATAGTAGATGTTTAGTTCGTTTTATCTGTTCAGTGATAAGAAAAGCAGCGAGTAGCTATCTCAAAAGAGCTGTTTGTTGAGATGGCAGTAAAATATTAGGGTTTGTTTTAAGCCCTTCTCCGTTCTTCATTATTTTGAGTAATTTACTCTAACCCCTTTCTCACCAGGCAGTTCTGCTCATCTTGATTTTTGTCCTGAGAAAGAGAGTGAAATTGGCAATTGAAATTTTCCGGGTTACAAATAAAGCCATCAGCAGCTCTCCTTTCCTGCTGTTTCAGCCACTGTGGACATTTGCAATCCTCATTTTCTTCTGGGTCCTCTGGGTGGCTGTGCTTCTGAGCCTGGGGACTGCAGGTAAGGGCAGTGGGTATGGGTCCCCTCACCTTGAATCAGGCACAGAAACCTTCCTCATTTTGGAATTGTTGGTTGGTTTTCGTGGAGACCAAACCTCTCATGGAACTAGAGGCATCTGATGACAGCAGTGACAACATTTGGGGCTCTGTTATGGCAGAAAGCGGGAAAATTCTTTCTCTTTTGTATTGGCTTTAAAGAAGCTAAATTTGTGTTTCATGAGAGAATAAATTCAGTAAAGACTGAAAGCATTTTAGGAAAAATGACAACATAAAGCCTATAGAAAGAATCTTATCAAATGTCTCTTTTGGATTTAAATTTTATCCAGGGTAATTTACCAACTCCCATCAAATCAGTAGGTGATAAAGAACTCAGGAAAGACCCTATTGCTCAGCAGAGCCAGCCTAAGTTTAAGGCAAACCCACACCAAAATTCACTTGGTACTAAGAGACCATACTGTATCCTTCATTCTCCTGTCTTAGCTATACACTGGTTTTCTACCAGAGATATTCCTCAGAGATTCTGATTCACTTGGTTTGAAGTAGAGCTAAGTATCTCTATTCTTTAAAATTCGCATTCTAGAGCTGTGCTGTTCAAAGTGTGGTCTCAAACCAGAGAAGAAGCTTATGCCAGAATGCATATCACTCATTGCTTTCTTCACCGAGAAAGTCTTACTGTGGGGAAAAAAAAAAGTCAGCAGAGGAAACAATGGGCTTGGTGATACCCTGACGTACATTCCAGCACCAGCTCCTTCTCTCCCTGCAGGCTGGTAACACACGGCGGCTGGTCCGTGGAGCACGCTTCGAGTGGCACAGCTGTAGATCTTCTCTAACGCCTCTGCTTGATGTGGTTACGGCCCACATTTGCACTCCGATGGGAGCGCAAAAGAGTAAGTTACTTTCTGAGACGGTCACCAGGCAGTTAAGAACCACAGCAGGTGTCAAATCAACAAGGCTAATGTAATTCCTTAGTGATTTATCAAGTTTAGCTCCAGTCATGTACGTAGGAACAACTGCTATGTAGCAGAATCTTAGTAAACCGGATTCTCTTCCCTCTCGTCTGGAGTAAACTGATCCCTCGGAGGTACTTCAAGGTGGCAGCAGGCTCCTGCCAGACACAGCCCTTAGAAACCCGTATTTCCAGCTTTGGAGATGCTTTAGGGGCAGTCATTCCTGTTGGAGGGGGTGGGTCTCTGGAAGCTTGCTGAAGGCCTGCAGTGAGCTCCCGATAATTATCCAGGGAGGAATGCTGGTCAGATGGGTACAGGACTGTATTCAGTCAGGGTGAAGTTTGTCTGGGAGTGACAGAAAACTCAAAACAGTGGCCTAAACAAAATATAAGGATATTTCTCCCTCACATAAATGAAATCCACAAGGAGGAGACCCGTGCAGGCATGGTCGTCCAGAGGTCAAGGGCCCAGGCACCGTCTTTCTTGTTCCTCAACCTCTACCACTTGCTTCCACCCCACTCAGCCTCCAACCAGCAAGTGTCGTCCAGCCTTTGGGAAGGTGACGGGGCGGATGATGAGCGTGCCACTCCCTCCCTCACCCCACCAGAGGCCACGACTGCACTTCCACTTACGCCATCGGGCAAACCCTAGTTACAAGGCATTGTAAGTGCCTTCGATGTGTGTGTTGTTATGCTCAAGGTACAGGCAAGAAAATTGAGGCCCTGAGCATCATTTGCCGAGGGTCACTCAGCTGGAAGCATGGTGGTTCTCTGCCTCCAGAGCCCTAGGACAGAGCCCATGCTCATCCCCATCACACGTTTCCCTGTGCCTGGGATTCAAGGATCAGATGTCGACACTAGACCCCCTCAGGACAGAGCAGCACTGGGACCACCACAGCTAGATGGTGGGTGGGGCCATGCCCATAAGATGGTGTTTGGGGCCAGCGGCTACAGCACCAGCGGTGAAGCCAGAGCAGCTGAGAGTGAGGCGTGGCAGGAGGTGGCAGGCACAGTGCACTGGGTGGTGGGCTGTGGTACTTGAGCCCTTGCCCTTAAGAATCACCAGAGAAGGTGAGGTCTTGGGGAATATGGCTCAGGACCTGCGAATGCCCTCCAGCCTCCACCCTCTAGGGCACAGCTCCTACCCACTGTCGCCCCGGACTGTGAGTATGAATGAAGGACGTTTTTTCTGTGGTTAAACCTTGATGCTTTGGAGCAGGGAATGATCCTTTATTCTTTCTTTAATTCACAAACATTAGGTAAACACTGTAGGGACAAGGCCCTGGGCAAGACACTAGGGGACAGTGGTGATCCCTCTCCACAGCATGGACAGTTGAGCAGAATGGACTGACAGTTAAAAATGTGCTCATGGCCAAGGTCGATGAACATCATGATGGGAGAAGAGGCCCGTGGCTGTTGGGGGAGGTTTTCCCTCCAAGTCTATGCTTCAGTTAGAAGAAGTAACAGGGATGCACTCAGCATGCTTGAGAAAGGCAAAGGGCTGTGCTAGGGGAGGGTGCAGCAGGGCCGGGCAGAGGGTTTCCTGTGAAGGGACCTGGAATCCAGGCTGGCTCTGGCTTTCCCTTTTCTCTTTTGTTTTCTGACTTTATTGAAATATAATAGGCAATTAGTTGCTCATATTTACATTGTACAATTCAGTGAATTTTTCTTCAATTATATTTGGCATATAATAATATATTAGTTTTAGTTGTACAGCATAATGATCTATGTAACTCATGAAGTGGTCACCCCACTAAATCCAGCCCCTTCTTCCCCTTTATATATTTATTACAACATCATTAACTATTTTCCTTATGCTGCACTTTATATCTTCATATCTATTTTATAACTATCCATTTGTACTTCTTAATCCCTTTGCCCTTTTTCACCGTCCCCCTAACCCCTCTCCCATCTAGTAGCCCTCAAAATATTTTCTATATCTATGAGTTTGTTTCCATTTTGGTTGTTGTTGTTGATTTTGTTTTTTAGATTACACATGTACATGAAATCATGTGGCATTTGTCTTTATCTGACCGATTTCATTCAGCATAATACCCTCTAGGTCCACCAAGGCAATATACCTTTTTTCATCCCCTTCCTTTTAGTCTGTCCTTTTCCCATTTTTTTCAGTGGAAAAGTCATGCTTTCTTCCAAGCTGCCTCATGAGGATGTTAGGAGGCTGACTAGGACCAGAACTCTGCTTTGCAGATAAGGGCCATTTTTGTTCCTTGTATTAGGGATTCATGTCTACTAAGGAGTGTCTAGTGTTAGCTTCAGCTTTGTGGTTTATTCTCTGCTCTGCCTGGCATATTTGAGAACACAGTTTAAAAGAAAATTGTCTTTTTTTTTTCTTTTAGTTAATAGAGATCTAGAAGATAATGAAAGTTATTTCACAAAGTCTGCTAGTGGCCCAGACTGGTCCTAGGATTTAGGACTAAGTGGAGGGAGCTTGTACAAGAAAAATTTGAAACAGCTTCCGTTTTTCAGAAGTCAATGGTCCATTTGGGAAGGTGCAAAGTGAAGTAATCTCCATGGACGTCTCTGTGCCTTTGCACTTCATTTACACTGATTTGATGTGATCTTCATCTAGAATCCCTTCCTTTTCCCACTCTGACCCCAGCTTTCTACCCCAAATGGCTTGGAAAACTAGTCACTCTTCAAGAAGTCTTTTGAGTATTATATTTCTCAGAAAAATCTTCTATAAATCCCCCTGACATACCTAGGTATTTCTTCTTCATTTTCTTTGCATTTTTTATGTTCTTCATTCTTTCAACAGATATTAATTTCATGACTACTATGTGCCCTGGGTCCTGGTGATACAGTAAAGAGCAAAACAAAAGCACTAGAGAGTGGGAAGAAAGGGGGTAAATAAGTAAATATATTATACATCAGGTGGTGATAAGTCCTGTGAAAAACAGTAATGCAAGAAAATAAATGACTTTTGGGTTGTCTCCCACTAGAGTAAAAACATCTTGAGGGCAGGGACTGTGTCTTTCTTTTTCTGTGTCACTCAGTGTGCAGCCCCTGAGTGAATTCAGTAAGTGTAGGTTAATCAAGAAGTGAGGTCATATCTGTGCTATATTAAGTGATATGTTATACATAAAAAGAATTTGGAAAATTACAGGCTCCGTCAACAAGATTTTCTTCTCTTTTACCCTAGTCCTCATGCCATCAGAGTAGAAGCTGAGCCTGTGGGAGACACAGGAAAGATGGGTGTCAGTGGGCCAGGAGTCCAGCAGGACACTTGAGCCAATTTGCTGGAAGAGGTCCAGTAAACAGAATGTGCCAGAAAGTGGAGCCCTTCCAAATTGGGCCTACTTCCTTTGGGAAGTTATCACAACCAGCTGGACTGTCTTCATTTACACTGATCATAAGAATCACCTTAGTGTTTTGAAATGTTTTAAAGCTTGCTAATAATGCCTGGATGTATAGCTACTTTCACGATGAATTTCCTCTAGGTCATGTTGACAATCTCTAGGAAGATCTCTAGAACATCATCTCAAATTTCTCTATGATAGGATCTATTATTTGAGGAAGGTTGGTTCATTCATTCATTCAGCAAATATTTATTGAACATTTACTGTATTAGACCCTGTTATAGATGCTGGAGATACAGCTTTTCTTTCAGTTGGGACGCCAGAGGGAAATGAAATAAAATAAGGAAATGAATTTGATAGTACATTAAACATTGATAAATGATATAGAGAGAAATAAAATAGAGAAGAGGAATGGGAATACTTAAGGAGGGGTACAATTTTAAATTTGATGATCAAGGACAGCTTCGTTGAGAAGATGATATGTCAGTAAAGATTTGAAGGAAGTGAGGGCAGAGACATGAAGCTCTGAGACAATGTGCCTGGCAAAGAGGACAGCAAGAGGCCAGGGTGCTGGGGACACAGCAAGGAGGCCCGGTAGCTGGAGTGGCGTGTTTGAGGAGAGCGCAGGCCACGAGGGTCCGGTCCCGAGGCCTTGGAGGCCTCAATGAGAACTCTCTAATCTTTGGGAAGTCATTACAGAGTTTTAAGCAGAATAGTGACATGATCTGACTTACATCTGAATATCAGTGACCCAGGGAGGAGATGATGGTGGCTTAGGACAGGGTCATAATGGTGGACATGGTGTGACATTGGATTCGGCCTCTACTTTAAAGGGTTTCATACTATATTAGTTGAGAGGTGTGAAATAAAGAGGAGTTGGGGACAACACTGGGTCTTTTTTAGCAACTGGAGCATGTGATTATCATCACCTGAGAGGGGTCAAGACTTGGGAGCATCAGATCATTTTTAGTTGTGTTAATTGAGATGTCTTTTAGGCAACCAGGTGGAGATGTCTAGTGGGCAGTTAGCTCTTTGAGTCTGAAGGTTCTGGAGAGGTTCCAACGAGAGCTCTACATTTGGGAATTTGGGAATATATAAATATTACCTAAAACCATGAGTTTAGAAGGAATGTGGAAGGGGAAGACGGGAAATCCAAGGACTGTACCCTGGTCACTGCCACATTAAAAGGTCCCAGAGATGAAAAAGAACAAGGAAAGGAGACCTAAAGGGAGCCACCCATACGCAGGAGGAGAGGGAGTGTGCCGTCCTGGAACTCGGTGATGGGTTTCAAGGAGACGTGAATGGTCCAGCGTGTCACATGCTGCTGATGAATAAGATAAGGACTAAGGACTGACCATTAAACTTAGCAACATGGAGGTGAAACAAGCAGTTTCAGAGAAGTGTGGGGGAGTGGATTATCATTGAAATAGGTTGAAAAGAAATGAGAGAGAATTGGAAAGAGTACATGGAGACAATCTTGAGGAATTTGGCTATAAAGAGGAACAAAGAAATAGCAACGAAGCTGGAGGAGGACAAGGAGTCAGGAATAGATTTTTTAAAAGATGCGAGAGAATTAAAAATGATTCACAGAGAGTACTTTGATGAAGCAAGAAAGAGGGGGAGGATTTCTGAAGAGATATCTTCAAGCAGGTGAGAAAGAGGATCTAGTCGGGGATCGGCCCAAGGATCACAGAGAGTTTATCATAGTAAGGGGTGTCGGATTATGGACTCCTGCTGATAGCAGGTAGATGGAGGGGTAGGCACTAGCAGAAGATTTCTGATTGCTAAAATTTTCTTAGAGAAACCAGAAGTTAGGTCATTGACTGAGAGTGAAGATGGGGGAAAAATCTCATAGAGGTTGGAGGAGAAATTATAAACATTCCAGAAGGAGAAGAGATGAATAGACTAACAGAACAACATGTGAATTCCTGTAGTCATTTCTGATGGTATCTTTCTGGTTTTTTGTTTGCCTCTTTCATTTTTTCCCCTAATAGCTAATGTCCAGCAGAATTCCAGTGTACAGTTTATGCTTAATAAAGGTTTGTGAACTTCAGAACTGGAATCATATTTATCTATACCTCAGTGATAGCTAACCCTGTATTGTACTTACTATTCCAAGTGCCCTTCCCAATTAGTCCTCATCACAGGTACATGTATGACATTTAGTCATGAGCCTGGATGGGATCACCAAGGGAGCGAGAAGTAGATATTAATATCTTCAGATTACACTCAATGAAACATAGATTTTAAAAATCCCATACCTGCTCGAGCTTGTCAGTCATTAGGGGACAGTTCAGAGATGTGCACCTTAGCCTGTGTGACAGTCAAGCCCAAGCTGATAACCACAGCCCCAGGGTTCATCTTATCTGCCTAACCTCTTCATCTTTCCATTGAGAGAACTGAGGCCCAGGTTGCTTATCACACATGACAAAGCTGAGACTGGAGCCAAGTCCTCTCCCAATGTCCTTTCCGTGGTCTCTGAGGCCCACCATATCTTGGATCTATTTGTAGTCCAGGTCCTATTAGCTATCCATAGCAGTAGCTACAAGTCATTTATAGGGCTCTTGACTGCACTGTTCCCACCATCCAGGAGAGGGCAGTCATGTGCATGTAAACACGCCTGCCCCACCCAGAGACTTGATTCTAGGCTTTCATCCTGAACGAAGCCAGAGCACCTGACTGCAGAGAATATTTGCTTAAAACAGTGATTCTCAAGCAGCAATTTTGTTCCCCAGGTGGCACTTTGGCAATGTCTGGAGGCAATGTTGGGTTGTCATAATTGGAGGAGAGGAGGAATGATGCTTCCACCATCGAGTGGGCAGAGGCCAGGGAAGCTGCTAAACGCCTTACAATGCACAGAACAGCTCCCCTGCCACCCCCAGAGATTTATCTGGTTCAGAATGCCAGTTGATATGCTTAGAGCTTGGGAAACCCTGTCCTAAACGAAAATCTATAAACAACCTGATATAACTGAACCAGAAGAATAAATAGAAGATGGCTTCAATAAAGATGTTCAAAAACAAGTGACCAGTTGAGGATAACTTAAGGGTTCTGTTACCTTGGGGAATGCCAAAGGTTTGAAGGCCTGCATGGATCTTACCACGTTAGCCACTCTCTACTTGCTGACTGCCGCCATCCGTGTGTGGAGCTGGGACGTGCATGAATGCTCTGTGGGCAGCACAGGGCAGCCACAAGGAGAAACCCTTCCCCCTTAGCATCCAGGGCCTTTGTACTTACCTCTTCTCTGTTGAGAAAATCATTTCTCTTGTTCTGTGGAAACATCTTCCACCTCTAAACTGTTTGCGATGTTATAGACCTATTCTTGCAAAGCTGCAGTCTGTCCCTGGGACCTATGGACCTTACAGCAGCAGCTGTGTGCTTTTTGGCTGTCCTGTGCCTCCTGATGTTCCAGGAAGTGGCTCTCCAAGTCTTCACTGACCTGATCCACCTAAACGTGCCTGTCAGGTCACCTGCTTTGGAACTGGGAATGCTTTTCTGAAACACATCCCTTTTGGAAAAGCATAAGCATTTATCAGTGCCTTACCTGAAAGAGAGATTGCCTCAAGGCCAGAATGAGCCCAGTGTTTGATAAAATACGAATGTCTCTGTAAATCAGGCTGCTCCACTCTTTCTCATAATGTGACTCTTGTTCAGCAGAACATAGAGCATAAGGAACCTAAGACCAGCCTCCGTCTGTAAAGTCAGTTTGCTCTAGAGCAGGATTATCTTCTCCCTCTTCCTTCACACGGGCTCTACTGTGAATGCCTAAAAATACATGAATTATGAACCTAAAAGCAATTTCTAGCTATGGAAAAATATGGAATTATCTTTAAAAGTTGTTTAGGTTGTAGATTATACCGAAGACCAAAGTGCCTACCTTCTTACAGTAGTTTATTTAAAATAATGAAGAGAGAACATCTAGAAATCTATTGCACCGGTGAGCTGTTAAAAACAGTAAAAATTCTTGTCTGTTTTATAAAGGCTAAATTTTTGGTGAATTGGGATTCTGTAACATGGTTCTAACAATCTTTGTGTGGCTTCATCCTCATAAATTGTGTTTTATTACAAAGTGATGTGGTAGAAAAACCATGGGTTTTTGAGTCACTGTAATTATCATTATTGATAGCATTTATAAATTAAGTATGTGTTCAGAATTTTTAAGTTTTTGCTATGGAGATATTAAAGTATGGTGGGTGCTTCAAACTTTTCTTTGGTGTCTGTATTTCATGTTATGCCAAAGGCCAGGCATGAGGAAGTATGGCCTGTCGTACCATGATTAAGAAAACATGGGTGTAAAACATGTTTGTGTTTTAAACTTTAGGAGCTGCCCAGGTTATCGAAGGTGGCCAAGTGGAATATAAGCCTCTTTGGGGCATTCGGTATATGTGGTGGTACCATTTAATTGGCCTCGTCTGGACTAGCGAATTCATTCTTGCGTGCCAGCAAATGACTGTAGCGGGGGCAGTAGTTACGTCTTATTTCAACAGGTAGGTCTAGCATGTTACTCCTGTTGGTTTGTTTGTGTGTGTGTCATGTTGTGCATCTCTAAAGGTATTTTGGAGTTTTGACATGACCCATTAAAAGGGGTTGGCAGGCGTGAAAGACTAAGCTAAAAATTTGGCTGGATGCTCATTAGGTGGTGAAAAGAAATGTTATACCTTAAGTTTGTCACATTTCCAAATTCTTCTTATAATTGAAAGATATCAGAAAGGAAGGACTGACTTCTGTAAATATCAATTCTTACTGACTTCAAACAAAAAAAAGTGCTGTTCTATTTGAAACACACTTCAGTAAGTTCTGTGAACCTCATTTTCTATATAAAATGAGGAGAATGTTTACTTGGAACATAACTTTAAATCCTCAGGGAATTGTACATAACCATAAAATATAATTCATGTTCATATAATTAAGTACTAGAGAATTAGTTACCGGTATATTCACCATGATACTTATTTCAGCGTTTACACCCCTTTACCTCTCGTGTGTCTGACTCTCAAAGTGGGGCGATGATAAAGCCTCAGTCAGGAAGATCATGGCCAGGACAATGACAAGGTTGGACTCAGAACAGGAAGTTTACTCCTCATACGGCCAATCTTCCTCTAACCGCTCAGACCAAATGAACAGATAAACATGACTGTTTTTTTGGCGTAAGAAAGTCAAGCCGGGATGATTCATGCCATTGAGCAGTGACCTCTTGCCTATAAAGAGCATGTAGGTTTTAATACAATGGTGCTATTTGGAGCCTCTGTCATTAGAGACCCCATAGGACACACAAAGGAGCTGCACCCCTTTTCATTGAGAACCTCCAGGGGGCTGGAGGTGGGTGATGTGCACTTCCTGCTTCTGAGTAGGGGGGCAAAGATTATTCTAACCAAATTGGTCAGCAGGTAACAGCTGTCTGACAGCAGTGGTTTTGGGTTATCTTAGCATTTTCAGTGAGGGCTTTTGGTTTGGCCTTCCAGAGAGGCATATGCATGTTATCTCCTAACCCCTCCTTTCACTCCAACTCCCCCCGCCCAACTGTGAAAGAATGAAAGAGGTATCAACACACAAGGACAGTGACAAACAGAGGCAATAACAGCAGATAAGAAATGTCAACCAAATGTCGAAAGCTGAAGAGAGGATAGGTGAGTGGTGACTCTGAGCAGACTAGAGAAAGCTAAAAAGGAAGGAAGGAAGGAAGGAAGGAAGGAAGGAAGGAAGGAAGGAAGGAAGGCGGAAGGGAAGAAGGGAAGGAAGGAAAGGAAGGAAGGAAGGAAGGAAAGAAGGAAAGAAGGAAGGAAGGAAGGAAAGCTTGTTTCTGTTCTGTGTGTTGGGTGGGAAAGAAGGTAAAAATAAGACGCAGGCTGATTTGAGCCACAAAACCCTAGAGAGGCTCAGTAATTCACGTGTAAAATGTACTTCTGAAGATTAGTAAAAGTCTTCCTAAGGAGTGGTTAGGCCCTAGGTTCCCTCCTCCACACCAACAGAAGATGGGAGCTTTGCTGCCTAGGGAGGGAAGCCAGAGAAGGCCTAGACTTGGGGTATCTGGCACAGCTGATGCTGAGGGCGAGGCTCTGTAATGAAGGAAGGTGGAGTAAGCGATAGTCTAAATACTGAATAATGAGGACCTCTCGCTACCACCATCACCAACCCGCATTCCACAGCTTGGCTCCCAGGATATTGACAGCCAAGGTGCTATCCCCAAGGCCAGAGATCAGACGATTCTTCTTTGGAGAAATTGCCTAACCCAAAGTGAAGACCTCCAGGTAATGCTATATAGGGTCCCCCAATGAACTGACCTGGTTCTCTGACTATGAACCAGACAGTGAAACTCACTAGTCAACAGTCAACACTCATACAGAGCTTCCAGTTCACTTTTTAGTGCCTCACCCTAAATGTGTGTGGGCAACCAGTGATTACTAAACATTTGAAGAAAACCTATAGTGAAAGAAATACCAAAAGGAACAAAACAAAAGGAATTTAGGGAAAACAGAGACAATGCAGGCAGCAGAAGAAAAATGCAGACAAAAACAAACAAAAAAACCCCCCACTGTAATACCCTTAGAGAGAACAAAGCCATACGGCATCTATAAAAGAAAAAACAAACAAAAAAAGGAATAGCGAGGGAATAAGGAAGACCTCTTAGTAATTAAAAATGTGATTGCAAAAGCAAAAATTTTCAATTAAATAATTAAAATATAAAATCAAAGAACTCTTCTAGGAAATAGAGCAAAAAAAAATACACAGAGTTGGAAAATAGGAGAGGAAGGATAAAAAGAGGATAAATATAGGAGAGCTAACATCTGATTAATATGAATTCCAGAAATAGAGAACAAACAAAAAAAAGCGAAGAAATTATCAAGAAACTTTCCCAGAGCTGTAGGACATGAGTAAAGAGAAAATCCTAGAAGCTTCTAGAAGGAAAAACAGATCACAGGCAAAGGATCAAGAACTAGAGTGGGATCCAGTGTTCAACAGCAACTCTGAACCAAGAATACAGTGGAGCAAGCCTGTCAAAATCCTAAGGCAAGACGATATCCAACCTATAATTCTAGACCTACTCATACTATCAGTCCAAAGAAGAATAAAGTCACATTCAGACATGTAATATTTCAAAAGACTTTCCTCCCCACATCATTCTTTAGGGAGGATGTTCCCTATTGAAATGAATGAGAAAGCCAGAGAGGGAAACATGAGTTTCAGGAAGTGGGCTCCAACTCAGAGAAGAGAAGGAAATTCCCAGGAAGGCGGCTATGCAGCAGGTGTAGAGACCATCCGTCCAAAGTAGAGCAGGAGGGCAGTGGGCTCCAGGAGGGATATCGCCCAAGGAAGAAAAAGGAAAGTGAGAGAATACCAGATGTGTTTGAACATGTAGAGAAAGGATATATACTTTGGCAAAGCATATGGTGAAGCTCATGGAAAACCAAGCAAATAAAAATGTGAAACAATTATTAACTTCAGGAAAACCCAAAAGTTGTACAGGAAAGGAAATATGATCAGAGCGCCCTACTCCTTGGATCAGTTGTGAATGTTATTTGTATACTGATAGTGTAAACATTAAACATTAAAGCAGATTAAAAGCATTTGCTCTAAGATCAGGAACAAGGGTATAGACTCTCATGACTCCTTTTTAACATCGTACTGGAAGTCCTAGCAGAGCAATTAGGCATGAAAAAAAAAAAAAAAGTCATCCAAAACAGAAAGGAAGCAGTAAAATTGTCTCTGTGTGGAGAGATATCTTATGTAGAAAGAGGACCCTAAAGACTCCACAAAAAAACTAATAGAACTAATCAATGAATTCAGTAAAGTTGCATACAGAATCAACATACAGAAAATTGCTGCATTTTCTATACACTAACAAGGAAATATCTAAAAGAGAAATGAAGAAAACACTCCTATTCACAATAACATCAAAAACAATAACATACCTAGGAATAAAATTAACCAAGGAGATGAAAGACCTGTATGCTGAAAACTACAAGACTTTGATAAATTGAATAAGATACAAACAAATATAAAGATATTCCATGTTCATGGATTAGAAGAGTTAACATTAAAATGTCCGTATTACCCAAAGCTATCTATAGATTCAATGCAATCTCTATCAAGACTCCCGTGGCATTTTTCACAGAAGTAGAAAAAACAGTCCTAAAATTTGTATGGAATTACAAAAGATCCTGAATAGCCAAAGCAATCCTGAGAAAGAACAAAACTCGAGGCGTCAAAATTCCTGATTTCAAACTATATTACAAAGGTATAGTAATCAAAACACTATGGTACTGACATAAAAATATACACACAGACCAATGGAACACAATCAAGAGCTCAGAAATAAACCTTTGCCTAAATGGTCAACTAATATTTGATGAGAGATCCAGGAATACTCAATGGGGAAAAGAGAGTCTTCTTAATAAATGATGTTGGAAAAACAATAATCATATGCAGAAATATGAAATTAACCCCATTCTTACACCACTCATTAGAATTAGAAATGGATTAAAGACTTAAACATAAAACTCCTAAAAGAAAACATAAGAGAAAAGCTCCTTGGCATTGGTCTTGGCAATGAGTTTTTGAATATGACACCAAAGGCATAAGCAACCAAAGCAAAAATTAATAAGTGAGACTACGTCAAACTAAAAAACTTCTGCACAGCAAAAGAAACAGCAGAATGAAAAGTTAAGCTATAGAAGGGGAGAAAATATTTGAAAATCAGATGTCTGATAAGGGATTAATATCCAAAATATATAAAGAACTCATACAACTCAAAAAAAAAAAAGATTAAAAAACGAGCAGATGATCTGAATAGACATCTTTCCAAAGAAGACATATGCTCAACATCACTGATCATCAGGGAGATACACATCAAAACTACAATGAGATATCACCTCACACCTGTTAGAACATCTGCCATTAAAAGGACAGGTTTGACAAGGAAATGGAAAAAAGACAACCCTTGTGCACTGTTGGTGGGAATGTAAATTATTATAGCCACTATGGAAAATATTATAGTGGTTCCTCAAGAAATTAAAAAGAGAAATCTCAGAAGATCCAACAGTCTCACTTCTGGGTATGTATCCAAAGGAAATGAAGACAGATTACCGAAGAGACGTCTGCACTCCCATGTTCACTGCAGCATTATTCACACACAGATTACCAAAGAGACATCTGCACTCCCATGTTCACTGCAGCATTATTCACAATAGCCAAGATATGGAAACAACCTAAGTCGTCAATGGATGAATGGTTAAAGGAGATATGAGAGAGAGAGAGAGAGAGAGACACACACACACACCATCAATGGATGAATGGTTAAAGGAGATATGAGACACACACACACACACACACACACACGGAATACTATTATTCAACCATAAGAAAGAAGGAAACCTTGCCATTTGCGACAACATGGGTGGACTTTAAGGGTATTGTGCTAAATGAGATAAGACAAAAACAAATACTGTATGATCTCACTTATATGTGAAATCTAAAAAAGCTGAACTCA